GAGAAGCAAATTTAGTAGGTTTTAATAAATGAATAAATTTATTATTACTCAATCGAAAATTAAAATTATGTTATTAGGTTGCAGTAAAAAAACTTCAAGATGAGCTCTATCCTGTAAAAGAGGAACTTGATTTAAAGATTGATGAACTGCGTATCAAAGACAAAGAGCTTATCACAGCTCGCAACGAAGCAATAAAATTAGAACAGATGTTAAATGAAGTTCGCGCTAGCTCTAACACTGAAGAAAGTCGTCTACGCGAAGAAATGACCAAACAAGAAAAATTATTAGAAGAAGCACAAAATAAATATAATCGAGAAGTGCTTGTTCATGCTGAAGATGCTCAGTCTATACTTGCTCTGAATTCAAGACATGCACAGTTGAAATCAGAATTTGACCAATTGAAGGTATGTTCATTTTCAATTATACTTGAATGACATGATTAATTTTCACTGAATTTCATAATTATTTTTTTTAGATTCAATTACAAAGGTCAGAGGAGTCTTGGAGTAATGAAAAGGACAAACTCGAAAAAGAATTGGAGAAGACTCTTCAACGGTAAGCGCATTAAAACATACAGGAATTGTTGAATTGTTATTTATTATTTCTTAACCGCGTTAAATGTTTTAGATGTAAAGAACTTGAAGAAAGCAATAAAGTACTTCATGACTACTTTGACACTGATTCTGGAAAGACAGTATCCCAAGATCAAATAATTTCACTTTTGCGTATGGAAAAAGAAAAGGCAGAAACACAGAGAGAGGCGCTAGCACAGCAGGCTGAAAGATATAAGTCACAATACGAACATACTCAAAAATCATTGGATGATGTACGAGCGTTACTCCTGCAGGTATTGTCTCACTAGTTTCTAATTCAATTATTTTCATGTTAATTTAGTTGTATTTCTACGCACGTTTTTAGGAACGTGAACAAGCAGAAAAAGCAGGTCCTTTGGAGAAGTTCCAAGCTGAACTTTCCGAAAAAAATATTCAATTAAAACTCCTTGAGGAAAGCAACCAAACACTGAGAGCCATTAGTGAGCGACTAGAAAAACAAGTTGCTACGTATCAATCTTCTCTGAAAGAAGCAGAGGAAAAAGTACAAACATTAGACGGTGAGAATTTAATACTTTTCGTGCCTAATTAATTCGAAAGTTGATGCCTTATTATTATCTTGTTGCAATTTAAATAGTGCAAATTAAAAGTTTACAACTTGACCGAGATAGTTCTGCTCAAGAAGCTAATATTCTTAAAGAGGATAATGAGCGATGGAAAAATAGATTCCACACAGTTCTACAGAAATATGGAGTATGTGAACATCTTTATTTAATTATCATGTAATAATAACTCATTTTAACTAATTTTATGTTTTGTAATTAAAAAACAGATTAGTGATCCTACTGAATTGCAAAATTTGAAGGATAATTTGAAGTCTACCACAGAAGAACGCGATAAACTTAAGGCCGACAACGGTAAATTGAGAAATGATTATATTTTATCAAGGAAACAGGTAAATGAACAATCCTAACTTTAAGATGTTTGAACAAGCAAATAGGCTTCCGATGCTAAAAATATCTGACATTATTATAATTGCATCGTGAAATTCAGTTGCTAACGTATACGAACTATTTATTTTTATTTATTATTGTTTTATTTTTTTTTAAAAAAAAAAAGTGTGAGAATGTTAAAAGCCAGGCTATAAAAATCAAGAATAAACTTGATCAAACTGAGAAGGAAAAAGTTACGTTAACGCAAGAAAACGCAAAAATTGAAAAAGATAAAGCAACACTTAATCAAGAGCTTACGAAAGAAAAGACCAATCATGAGAATCTTCGGAAAAGATTGAGCGGCATGCAAAAAAGTTTTAAAGCTGCAGCACAAGCTGAACAAATGAAAAAAGAACTAGAGGAATTGAAGCAAAAACATCAAGATGTTACTAAAGAATTAGAGGAGATGAAACAACAAAGTTTGGAACTTACAAAACAACTGGAAGGACTAAAGAAAGAATTACAAGAGGAGAAAGAGAAAACTTCGGACTATCTTCGATACAAAGCGCAAGAATCTATGTTTTCTAGTAAAATTAAAAAGTTGGAGGCAGAAAAGGCAGAGCTTAAAAGTCAGATCAACCAGTTTCAACAGCAAATAACAGCCCAAACAAACATTCCAAAATCAGAAAGTGTACCGAATACGGCAGAAATAACGCCTTCTACACCGCCCTCTACTTTGCCTCAAATTAACATAACAAAATCTCCTATCCCAACACAACCAACGATGTCAACAGCTTTAACGATTATTCCTCCACCAATAAATATTCCAACTAATGTTACCGAAACTCGGGAAGTTTCACAGCCATCTAATAATGCAAATGATGGAACGATAGTTGTTGCTACGTCACCAACTTCAAAACAAGTTTCTATAATTCCTCCTTCCTTACCCGCTGTTACACCGAATGTACCTGCTATAATTCCTCCTTCCTCACCCGCTGTTACACCAAATGTACCAGCCATAATTACTCCTTCCTCACCCGCTGTTACATCGAATGTACCGAAGGAGAAGCCACCAGTCAAATTGCAACGAAATCGTGTCGCATTACCACATTCGCCGAAAATAACACCCGTTCAAGTTGTAATATCAACACCGCCACCTATAGAGGAACAGCAACAAGTTGCACGCACATTAGTTACTTCTGAATCTCAGTCGAGTGAAATTTCTGTAGTCGAACCTGTCGAAACGGTGCAACCGACTTCTACGGAGGTTGTTAATATTCCTACTGAAATAGTTGGACGTAAACGTTCTAGAGAAGATGATTCTGAGGAGACTACTTCAACTGGAAATGGTATGTTACAATAAGCATTGTTTAATATTCTATAACTTTTTATTAATATACAATGATTTTTTCTAATACAGTTGTAACTGAAATGCAAGATGTTCAGATATCTGATAATACTAATACGAGTGTGGAAGTCGCGCCACAGTTACCTGTTGATAATAAAAACGTAGAAGGGACGGATGCACCACAATTGGTAGATGATAATCAAGTCGATACTGATGAGTCAGTAAAAGAACATCCATCGCCTAAAAGAGTTAAAATAGATGATAATAATTTAGATGTTTGATTAATATTTTGTGATTCTATATCAATAAACTTTAATAAAGTTGATTTTATTATAAAATAATAAAATTATACTGTATTTTTTTTAAAAAAAGTTGCTATTTATCAATTTATTAGCATTCGTAATTATTATTGGTATAATGTATAAATCAATTTATTTTTTTTATTTTTTTTGTTGTTAAAGGTGGCTTATATTGCCGAAAGGATTTTATAAGTATCGTACGTATACAGGGTTATATATTGATAATCCTTACTGTTTGTAATTATATAAAGAGTTAGGATGATTATTAAACTAATTAAATCAAACTATAAGTAGCTAATTGCTAATTAAATATTTTTTATAACAGGCAAGGGATATTTCCTTTTACAGAGGTTTAAAATGTTTTAATTATAAGTCAAATGACTTGATATATTTTAATTTTATATGTAAATTTATAAAAAAAAATTTATTTAATCTTGATTTATTTAATAGATAGTAGAAGGTAATAATAGTAATATATAGATTTTTGCTAACAAGATAGTCTTTTAGAACTATATAAACATAGTTTCAAAAAGCTATTTGGTAGCAAAATTCTATATATTCTACTAATAGTATATTAAATATTTAGCATGATAGAAGGTAATAATAGTAATATATATGATTTTTGCTAACAAAATAATCTTTTAGGACTAAGTGAAACATAGTCTTAAGAAGCTATTTTGTAAGCAAAAATCATATATATTTTATTTATTAAATATTACTATGTATTTAGATATATCAAATACAATTTTTCTATCTTGTATATATAGTTAAAGACTACTTGACTATTTTAGTATTTTTTGTTACTTCTGAATATATTTTTTTTTTGAGCAAAAATATAATCACAAATAAAAGAATCAGTTTGGTATCTAAAACTATAAGAGTAGTATAATATCTCAAGTTATAGATATAAGGGCTATTAAAGGAAAAGTTAGAAATTTATAACAAGGTTTAACTTTAAAAACTGTAATGCTTACTTATCTAATAAATAATATATAAAGTCTATCTACTATTTTAATATTATTTTAAAAAAGACTTTAAGAATATAATATTATTATAGTAATTATCATATTTTGTAAAAGTCTTTTTCAAAATAAAAATTTATATATTTATTTGTATATTATATTATTTATAGTTCTACTATTTACTTTTATTCATTATTTTATAAATTAAAGTTTATTGTATTACTAGTATATTGTTAATAATTCTAAGATAAAATAAAATAAATAATTTAAAATTATAGAAACTATAATAAATAATTAAATTATTAAATAAAAATATAAAACTATATTAAACAAAAACTCTCTCTATTGATCATTCTAACTATTTTTAAAGAGAAATAAAAAATATAAAAACTAAAAAATAGTATTACAAATAGATACCAAAGGCACTCACAATTTATTCACTCTCCCCGTAGATCATTTTGACCATTTCCGGAGCTAAAGAAAAATCAAGTTTTTTTCAAGAATATCATTAAGA